AACGACGACGCTCTAAGATTTATGATCCCAAGTCGAACTTCTCGCCCAGCGTTTCTTACACTGGACGCAGTCGTTGCCTTGAAGCGTCAAACTTCACTGTCACGCTTCATAAGGCGACGAAAAAAATTCCCGAATCACCCAGGGAGCACTCTGGTGATTTTAGATAAAAAGATTGATAGTGTTGTTGAATTTTCATCGAAATTCAAGGCTTGAGTCCTCTTCAAATGCAGTTAGAATTAAACTACATCTTCTTGATATTCTTCTTACGTGATCCTCTGGAAAATTCGAAATTCTCATGTTGAAATAAAATACGTTCCAGAAATAAAATATACTATCTATCATACCACGTAATTCTACTTTCGAATAACCAAAACATGTCGATGGTCCTGAAAATCAGGTCATTCTTCGTCGCAACACTCTTTTCAATTCGGTAATTCTTCTGCACTTGAGGACCATTTGGAATTCATGATCAAGATCTCGGTACACATGGCTCAACGTATGCTAAAATATTCTACGCGTGAAAAAATGCCTTCGACCCTGAACACTCCGGAATAAATTTTCTCTTGCGTCGCAGCAATATTTGTTTGTATTGATCGACTGTTTGCTAAAACATGAATGGAAAACGCATTACGATCGCAGACCGCGCGTCTTTCTTCGAATTTGAACGATGTTAACGATGGCTTATGATGTTTGGCCCGGGATTTTTTCGGCTCGACGTCGTAAACGCTCCATTTTTCGGTACGCTTACGCTGCGTTTGTAGAGTCACAAATGGAGATGCGATCCATTAAATATCATTCGGTTAAATTGCGCGGAACTCGTGTAGCGGAACGATTTATGCAACGGGGCTTTCCTAAATGGCCGTGGACGATGGTTTTCGGCAGTTTCAGTATCTGCCAGTTCCCTTCTAACTCTCCTTCTTCTCCGTCAGTGTCTTCGTCTAGTTTTTGACACACCGTGTATGAAAATAACCAAATTCCTGACGCAAAGTCTGATTAATTCGTTGGGTGACACTTGTAATGAAACCGTTGCAACTTAATATTATCGCAAAACTAATTTTGACGCTTTATTCGGTAGAGCTTAATTTTACCAGAAACAGTTACAGGATAGTTCGGATTAACAATAAAAAAATTTGAGATTTATTCGTCGAACAGATTTTCAGAAATTAATTTCTCGCGTTAATGAGGAGTTTAGATTCGAGAAAAGCGATATAAAATATGGCGGAAAACGAAGAGCGGGCGAGGACGAGAACGATAAAGAGGTGGGGGAAGGGTGGAGAGGGTGTGAGAAATTAATCGAGATTCTAATTGAGTTGCCACTGTAATCACATCTTCGTCGATAATCCCGTACCCAGATAGAATATGTCCACAATTTGGTATCTCATATCCGTTAATTAAACTGAAAACTTCCGAGAGGAGGGAGGAGGGAGAGGGGTAGACGACGCGAATATTCCAGCTGCTTTTAGGTGATCAAGGAAAAGACGGGTGACCATGAAGAGATGAGAAACAGACGGGTGCACGCAAAAAAGAACACCGAACATAGTTGTTTGCAGGCAGGAAATTGAAACAGAAATAATTAGGCATGGCGGGAAAAAGAGAGGGCAGAGAGAGAGGAGATGCAAAAGGCTTTGCAAAATATCGAGGATATCGGAAGGATATGGTAAAATGACTCGTGAAATTTCGTGGGAATCGCAGTTCACTATTATCACGGAAAATTGGATGATTGATAAATCTAGGAAGCCGGAGCACCAGTTTGTTGATATTCGGCGAAGTTGTAGATATTTCAGCAAAATAGAGTGTAATATTGCAAAGTACACAATATTTCAGCATCATAGAACATAATACTGCAAAATATAGAATACTCCAGAATGATACAGCATTTTACATAGTCTAATAACATCATGCAGCAAGATAAAACGTAATTCTACAAATCGCAACGCAGTATAATACAAGATAAACCGGCAAAATAGAGCATAAAACTGCGAAATACAGAATATGTATCCACTCCTTCGGCGACTTATCCGTCGACAATTCAGAAATTCTGCGACATCTATTGGCGTCCGTTTTTACGTGACTGGGGAAAAACGGACGAGTTCTCGCGACAAAGTGTGGGCGGCACGGCAAGAAAACTGGTAACAAAATCGACCGCCAACTCGAGAGGAGAAGCAATATTAGAGGAACGAGATATAACATCACATAATATCTTCCCATCGTCCCTAATCAAATATACGAGTTGTAAAGAAAGCCAATACATACGAGGCTGAGCAGGCATAAACGAAAATCGGTACTCTCCCCACGTTTAAGTGAGTCTACGATATATATATATAAACAATTTTATATAACATAGAATACTTTATAGGTTTGTAATTGATAGAGTATAATTCTATAACTCGCAGAGTACTCTGAATCATTATAATGACAAATTTCCATTTTGCGACATTGAAAAAGATAATTTGATGTTAGACAAAAACAGAATGTATTTATTAGGAAGAATGAGAGCCACTGCTTGCAGTCATAAAGCCACGCGAACGTGATCGTGCGAAGCCGATATAAAATCGATCGTTTGCTACAAAGGAAATAACCGTACAGAGTGTGATGCTGGAAGAGAATGGGATGAACCGAGCAAAAGAGATAGGAAGGTGAGAGATTCAAAAAAGGGCAAAATCAAGCGGAACGTTAAACGAAAAGAAAAAAAAAAAAAATGTTGCCGTTGCACGGTTCGCTGTAATAGCGTTTGATAAAATCTGCTGAGGAAATTGAAAGCTCAGAACTTTCAGCGACCGTGGTTACTTGTTTTTACCTGGTCACGTGAACCGACACAGGATTACTCCACGCGACGAAAGTGAAAATCAATTATCGAATTTCTGAATTCAGAAATACTCGTGGACGGAACATGAAAATATTTATGAGCCTCCGGTTTCTTATTTACTTCGTACGTATATTATTACCATTACCACTGTTGCATTAAATTAAGAAAATTAAAAATAAGACATACTCAAATGGAATAAACAATAAATACGGGCAAATTTTAAATAAATTGAAAATAAAGTGTCATCTAATTGAATACATAGAACCCAAATCTTACAAAATTAAATTAGGCAAAAGGAAACAGAACGTTAGAAATGAATATAAATGAAGAATAAAAAGAACGTACATTAATATCGATCAAAATTACCTTTTCCAGGTTCATCGATCCGAATCGATCGACACGTATCGATTAGTCGCAGTCAAATCGGCGAGTGGTTTCCTTTAGACGAATTTACGAGGTGTCGAAGTTCGTGACACGTATTGGTCGAGGATGTTACAGTGCATGCGGGCCGTTGCTCCTTCGAAACAATTCATTCAAAGGTGCAGGAGTTTCCCTGCATTGCGGGCTTTTATTTTCAGTCGGCCGAACGTTCCGTGGGGTACGTGCTTCCAGATCGATCCTGCGTATTTCCTAGGAATCACGAAACGCAGCTTGAGTCCCAACCGAGGGAACTTCTTCGTTTTCCTGTCGCGTCGAAAGACGGGAGGAATCTTCGAGGCGTGCAGAACCGATCCACCCTTCGATCGATCGACGCGCGCGATGCAAAATTCAATTCGAATCGACCTGCTGGGAGGAATCCGTGAATACATGTCCACGGGTTGTTTATTGGTTCTTCCGTTACACGAGGAACTTGAAGACGATTCACTGTCCGATCAACAGTAGAAGATGTTATGTCTGCGTTGAGAATTCTCGGGTACGTTTGATTTACGACAAGAGAGGGATGCTTTTGGTAAATGTATTACAAAATCATAGAAAATTCTATTTTTAATATGATGATGAAGGATTCTATGTTTTATAGAGCCTCAGAATATTTTATAATTTATAGAATTGTAGAGTATAGCACATGGCAAAATTTAAACTACATTTTCAAGTTAATAAAACATAGTGTATCTATTAAATATTATACATAAACTAACCAACGTGAGTAAATCGTAATTTTCCAAGGATAATCAACCTGCCAGTAAAAACTTGCATACCCATTCAACCGTATGATGTAATTAATCATCCCACAAAGTCTCTCAGGCCTCGTTTCCAGTGTTCTTTGGAAACTTGGGAGAAATAAATTCCCCCAAAAACACGATAGAATGTAAGCCAAGATATTTCACGGACACCGACAGTCGAACTATAACGAAATCCTATCGAGCTTGGGATTCGGGTCTCGAGCAAAATGAGTTAGGTATCCGCGATGGGTTGTAGAAAACGAATTACCAACTCGGAAGTTCGGCTAGAGAACCCCGGACGAAGAATCGGGAAGTGGAATCATTCACTGCTTCTTCCGCGACATTTCGTCTTAGAAGGAAACCGAGTGCTGTGACGGAATATAAAAACTTACGCGACGAATGCACAATACTTACTCCCACGTACGTGTCATATGGAGTTTCATGCGAATATCGGACGGAGGAATGGATCCTATCGCTTGGTGAATTAAGCAGCCAAGGACTTCCAAGGCCACTCCATGGACACCATTTTGTAACCTTCGAAACATCAAGGGATTTCTGGACGGTTGGACCGTGAGTCGTTTTCGAAAGTAGTCATTCCTATCTTTCTTATGAAATTTGACATGATTGGCTCCTTCATTGGAGAGGGGATTTCCTGTAATTAAATATGATGGTTAAGGTTGAGGTTCTCTGTTATACGATTCGCATCATGTCGTCGACATCGTCGTCAAAACACTATTTTAAAAAATAGCTCTATACAAACAAAATACACGTGTCATCTGTTTCTGTAGATTTGTTTACACCTGATCAAATATTTTTTCAGCTTCAGTTTTTCAGAATTTAGCTAATTCAATCAAGATTTCATAGGAATTTTGTTATGTGGACGATTTGACGTAAAGGCTTCTATTGGAATATTATTTTCAATTCCTAGAAGCAAGTGCGTACCTGGAATATCCGTGTCGAGAACCACCGCGCATTAATTACTGTAAATAACTCGCGTAGCTTACGTAAATATTGTTACCGCGAATGAAATAGTTTTTTCTATCGGTTAAAATTGCATTGAAAGCATTTCACTAAAAAAGGCGTAAACACTTCAAATGTTTATTCGGATTAAAAAGCGCGAATTCGCCGTTGCGGGTGGGAAAAACATTTCAATATTGTTTTTAATTACTTTTAAATATTCGTAATATGGTTCGTAATTCTATGCGATCATATTACAAGAGAAACAGAAAAGATTTGTCACTTCGCAATTCCAGAACTGAAATGTCTGAAGTAAAGCTTGGCTGTAATATTTGAAGTGAAATTCGGTTGGACTCAGTCAGAGAAATAGCTGGCGCAAATGTTTTTCTTTTTTTCTTTTTTTTTGTGCTTTCATACAGTACTTTGCCCAGCACTGCTGAAATTACGAAACTTTTTCCACTACCCTACCTCGCAGTCTGTGTTCCCCCGTGAGTAATTAATAGATTGCCTACGAATTCATGCAGCGAGCATTTTAATCTGCAGAAGTATTAAAATATTACGAGTTTAATATAATGAAATAATATAATATAAATTTCTGGAGATCTGCGATTAGCGAAATTCTTTGTCAGTTGCGAAGGCGTGCGAAACTCCTATCTGAATAACAATTTTAGATATCGACCCTGGCAACTATTGGATTTTTGTTATTTCAGAGTCAAATGTGAAAAACAGTATTTATTATATTTTTCATCGCACTCTTCTGCACTCATAGATCTAGAAAAATTATTACTCCTATAACAAAAGCGAGTCTACTGTTCATTCACCCTCTAAATATCCACAAATTTCGACCACCATTCAAAACAAACATATAGCAAAACATATAGTAAAATAATACGTCACTAATCGTCTCATTTGCCAGCTCGAGGAGTCCCCGTTCTTCTAAGCCAACATCGAATCTCAACCTCAACGCTATTTCGCTCCGTACGCGAACTTATATGCCTCGATATTAAAGAATGCATACAACAGAACCACGCATGAGATGATGCGGCAAGGGTTCGCTTTGTGTCGAATCGTAACAGGTACTTCAACGAGGATTTTAATCAACGCAAAGGGCACACTTCCATTTCACAATAACAATCGCGAGCCGGCGACAGAGCCGACCTTGGGTAAATATTTTTATTTCGTTACTCGGGTGAGAATTTCGGCCAGCGGTGCCCGCCGCGATCGCAGGGATCCCCTTGTTTCCCTACCATCGCTCGTAGATCGCATGCGGGTGCATGTGCCGGTGGATGTTGCACATGCGCGGTGGTTCCGCGTCGCCAGACAGCCCGCCGCTACGGGTGCATCTCGCGGCAGTTCGCAGTCGTCTTCTAAGCCAGGCTCATTAGTCACTCAGCACTCAGTCGGAACACATTTTCGTGAATCGTACTCGTTGCTCGGCGAACTATCCCACTGATCCATCCGACACCTGCCTCTCCTATCTTCATCCTTCCATCATCCTCCATCGAAAGCACGCGTTATCAGTCGTCGTAGGAGAGAAACGGCGCTCGTTGTTTGCCACCCGCCGTGTTCCACTAGCCAGTTTGCCCGCGAGGGGATGCAACTGAACTCGATGGGCTCCCCTGCACGTGCCAGCTGACTCTCGAGGAGCGTCGAACTCGATACGACCACGCGCTCGCTCCCTTCTTTCCCCGAACGGAAATCCCCGTGATTCCACCCGCCCAGTCGTCGAGACGCTTTCCAGTCTCTCCGCGAGTTTTCCCCGTACCCCAGGAATGACTTCCGTCCTGTTCGCGTGAGGATTCGTCGACGACAGTCACCCGAGCGCCGATGATCGGGGGTGGGGGCCAAAGTATCGAGGTTCCTCGAGAAGAGCCCTAAAGGCAGAGTTCGGTTCCATTTGGTTCGGATAGTTGGTGGATCCAGGTGGATCTAGGTGGAGCCAGACGATCGCGGTGAAAAGCCAGGTCGTCGACACGACGGGAACTACGCGAGGAACCAACATCCGCGTCCCATGGTCGAAACCACTTCGGACCAACGCTTCACGATCAAGTTCCCCATGCTGCAGCCACCGTCTCCCCTCCTGGAGATGGCATCCCTGCGACTACCGGACTCCGAGGAGTTCGACGCCGACACGCGCCGCAGGAGTAACAATGCCAACGTCCAGCCAACGACCGTCGCGGCCGTTCCACCGGCCACCCTCCTGCAGATGAGGAACGACTTCGGAAACTACCTGAACAACCTCATCGCGGAGGCAATCACGACCAACCCGAGAACGACGCTGGACGAGCACGGTGGGCTGTTGAACGCTAGTAAAACGGTGAACCTCTCCACCGCCGAGCAGATACCCGATCGCCTTTACAGGCACAGTATGGCTATGTCCGCGGTCTATTGTGTCGCTTACGTCCTGGTATTCGTCGTCGGTCTGATAGGTAACAGTTTCGTCATCGCCGTGGTGTATCGGTCCCCGCGCATGAGGACTGTCACGAACTTCTTCATCGTCAACCTCGCGGTGGCCGACGTCCTCGTTATCGTGTTCTGTCTGCCTGCCACTTTGATGAGCAACATCTTTGTTCGTGAGTATTCAGTCGTAAAACCTTTTATTCTTCGTTAATTTTTGTTCGTGGAGCTGGGAAGGCGATATCTGGATTAAACTGGTGACCTCTGTTGACCTCTTCTCGATACTATATGAGAGTGGTATTACTTTTTGCGATAAAGTAGCAGAAACTTGAAATATGTTTATACAAGTCTGATAAAGTTGTCTCGGCATAGTCTAGTCTAGAATGGCCGTCTTAAAAGACCTAGTATTGTTATTTGATCGAAGCCTAGAAATATGGGTGTCGATGTAAATCGATGTAACGTAGGAAGACGTGGACAAATGACCTTGCAACTAATTCTCATGTTCAAAAGTTAAAGGAATTGTAACCCCTCGCGTAGGGGATTATAAATGGTGGCAAGTTTTTGCTTAGTCTCAGAGGTCAACTTCTCATCTCCACTCTTGCAGTACTGCAAGGAGCTACAAAAAATTCCAATGATTAACACATTGATTGCCACGTCACCCATGTATGGGTAACAGTGCTTTTCGCTGAAAAAAATTAATTCTGAAAGTTTAGTGTCAAAGAAAATGAATTTGGATGAAATATTTGAACTTTGATAAAGTTATAAAAATAAGTATCACCATAAACGATTTATTATGCAGTTCCCCAATAGTCTGTAAACAAAATTTAATCACAGTGCTAAAAGAAATTAGAGTTTGAGTTAACCACGATGGTACAAATTCTTACAATAGGATCGCAACGGTTAATCGTAGAAAGCTTGTTCCTAGAAAACTTGCTATCTTTATATCAAATAACAAAGTCGTACAAAGAAACCTAGAGTCAGCTTCAGTTACATTAGCTAGAGGCGCGCACCTGTCTCTACATCAATACTGAATAATAAACTCATTCGAACCTAGTGCAAACGTAACACGAATCACCCCAAAAGCAGTCGCCACAACGTGTCCACAAAGTATGAAAATCCGCTTTCATGACCAGTAATGCCATTAGCGGCTGAAAATCCACGCAACCTAATATCCTTTCGCAAAAATTCTGCACGCCGAATCCGGATCCGATTCCCGAGTCCTCGTGCGATCCCTTCTTTTTTCGGAATCACCTTTAATTCTTTAATGCCGTCGATAGTACGTTCTCGAGTAAGTTTGCGAATACGGAAAGGGTCGGTGATTGAATCGATCCCTCGTATTGATCATGCGTGGGCAGAGGGGGAACGAGGAAAATTGGATCGAAGGCGATTAAACAGGCGCGAGAGCGATCCGTTCGCCGATTTGTCGTCGCGCGGGGGTCCTCCCCCCGTTCCAGTCCTCTATCGACCTCGAAGGGTGGCCCGTGGCAGGCCTGGAAGGGGGTTTCCCTTGGTGCCACGGAATCGATCTTTTTGCGACTCTAGGGCGCTGTTCACGCTCGATGCACCGGGCGTATCGCGATTCCGTTTTCAGGCGCGAACAGACTCGTCCAGGGCTAACTGCGGATAAATTATACGATAATGGAATCGCGCGAAGTGTCACCGGCAACGGGAGAAGAAGGTCTCACGGATTCCTTTCAATTTCTGAACTCCGTCGATCTTGGGGTTCCATCGATCAACGACGGAAGGTGTCCCAGAGTCTAAAGATGTCGATACTAACGATACAGCGATCCTTCCTGTTATGCAACTTTATATTTATTATCAGAGAAAAAGAGAGTAAATTCAGTCAATCTAGTTCATTAGTACAAATAACTGTCTTTAAAGATCGTGGCGACAGTTATGCCAACCAATTACTCAATTCGGTTTATGAAATTGTTAATGTGGAACACCGTTTCGTATATCATCTACCGTGGCAAATGTTCGAGCACGTGACCCGTTATATCCGCGGTAAATTCGCTGAAAGCCTATTGGCTGAAATTGCCGATCCCCCATTGCTGTGACATAACCTCGAAAAATCCTAGTTTCATTGGATCGTTAACAGGAAAGGGACTGTAATAAACGCGTGGATGTAAATGACCAATTTGATAACGATTAATTAAATGGGTCAGTTAATTCCGATAATGCCGAGGGATAACGAGGCGTATGGTGGACAAATATGAATTTGTCGCTGGGACGACGCGCAATTAAGCAGAGATCATTATATGTGCAACGGGTATTCGATGTAACATCCATATACTTACAGTTGTATACATTTATAGCTTAAGCCTCGATCGAAGGACAGTGATTGTAACGCCAACTTCGCACGTAAAGATAGATTGTTAACAATTTAGAATTAGCTGTAAATAGAAGTTAAGTCAAATTGATTTTTACAAAGATAAGAACATGTGGTTCCATATAAATAGCAGGTCTTGATGACTGAGAAGAACAATTGTGTAAGCAAAAGATTGGACTCGGTGTCTTCATCTTGCGGAACCGTATAATTTTAGCGCACAGTTTTCTTTTTCAAATTCATTAAGTCGAACGAGGTATATTTTGCTTCTCACGTCTCATACTGTGATATGAACCGTATGCAAAAAATTAAAATCGTAATTTTCGATTTGTGATATATTGCCTTGGAGAAATTTAATTCCTAAGGCAAGATTCGTGCATCTCGCGAACGATCAATTTATTCGTCCCGTTTCGAATTTAAAACATCGACGTAATTGCGTATAGAAACAAAAAGGCCAACGCGAGGCTCCAGATCCCTTCCACCGGCCAATTGTCGACGAGTCGCATGACTAAAGACGTCATTAACACGCACTGGCGCACGTTTATCTTCCTCGCGACGAATTCAAGTCATCCAGGACTGCTCATTTCGCATACAAAATACGCGGATGCTTTTATCAAGCCCTCAGCGATCCGGCGTAACAGATAGGAAACGTTCCTCTCAGCTTTCGACTTCTAAAATTATACTTTCAATTTCGTTGCACTTTGTTCCTATCTTTGTTCATTTTTTGATGGACATTTTGTCACCAAACGCTGTTATTAATTTATGTTACCATTATAAATTCATTTACCATTCCTTCCTCTGTCAGATTGTAAATTTTATTTGCGTATATATATATTTTTTTTTCTGTATGTAATCATGTAATGTACAAATATATCTATTTGTATGTCTATTTTATGAAGGTGCGGCTCTGATCAAGATTCAATTGTAGAATCAGTGCTTTGTCTGAGCAGAGTAAAATATGATACTGCGGTACTCATGATCTGTAATGAAACACATAGGTTTTCTTAATTACGTTAATTACAAGAACTTCGTATGGTTTGTTAATGTATTGTTAATCGTTGAATTCGGCGAGGAACACTCGATTACTCAGTGCTGCATGTTCGTATCATTATTCATTACCTTCTTTCCATCGTATTTCTCGAGTAGTACATTGAAAAATACAATATACACGTCGAATTGAGTAACCTCCTTCTTTTCGAAGTCGGTTAAGAAAGTAAGCTTTCATTACCTTGGTGTACGTTTCTAACGATATCGGGAAAAATCCAAATGCTGTTAAGCAGCAGACGTGTTCAGATCGTAGCATGATCATCATCAGATCTTTTCGAAGGGCTTTCCCAGGTTGATTCATTGGCATAACCGACCACAATCCTGAGTACGCCGATACTCCGACCTTGTCACTCTCGCTTACTATGCTATGGCAACTGTAGGTGAACATCAGCAGCATGAACGCGCTGCCCAGCGTGGAGGATAGGAAACCGCAACGTTTCGCGGTGCTTGCAGTTTCCTACAAGCGTGACGAACCAAAGAATTAGGAATCACTTGAGATTTTGTTCCATTAGTTTCAATTCTTTCATCGTTAAAATAATGTTTCAAAATATAAAAAAAAAAGAACCATGTAATTCATGAAAGTTAGTCGTTACACAAACGATTTAACCAAAATTTCGTTCATTAAAATAGAAACATGGTTCATGGTATTCCGAAGCCCATGATACACAGACTTTTGTTTTGAATTAATTTCAAAAAATTCTATATGCAATACAGAGCGAATACGAACCAGTATTGTTTGATATCCAAGCAGGCAGATCAACGCACTGAAGATGATTACTTGTGCCAATATCATCAATGTGAACATATTCTCGATTTTCACACTAAAATCGATGAGTACCTGGTGCTGTCGAATGCAATTCTTCAATTTCTCGTAAGATGTACTGGCATCGTTTAACATCACATTGTCATATGCATCTTCAATCTCTGTTTTTCTTTCCATGTGACAAAGCGTCTCCAACCTGTATTGAAGTATACGAAACTGTCCAGATAGGTGTACGTTTATAATGCACAAAATGTTGTCGAAACTAAAGTAACAGATTGCAATTTGATAAAACGTGAACGCCTGAAAATGAGTGAAAATCGAAAATCACTCAATTTCTTATGTACATTCTATTTACATAAACATATACAGTAATTCGATACATTTCTAGAGGAATTATCTTGGACAAAATGATAACAAGAGTGACTGGACGATTGGACTATGGCAATAGATACCTGCACAATGAAACATAGTTCGAAGTAGGGAGTCATTGTCAAGGGTAGTTGAGGCATCCACATGTTGAATGGAAATATTCTGTCTGACTCATTCTTCCCTATATTCGCTGATTCATAAATGAATAAATTAACTAATTCACAATAAATTTAATAAGTTGTGAAATATGTATTTTCATGTGAGGTAAGAAACGATCAACTGACGTAGTATAAAAGGCCGCGACTTTTCGATTCTCTTTTTTTCCGAGGAATTAATAGTTTATTCTCTGGTAGTGATATTATTAATACCGACTAATTCACGAAAGTAATTACAATTTAACTCACCAATGATCGGTGTTAGAAGGTAACCAGCTACTGTGCCGTGGCCACTGATGGTGACAATGCTGGTAAATAATATACACGTTTTTTTCGATTGGTCCACGATCTTCTTTTCGGCATCGTAAGAATTGCAATTCCAGAAATGCTCCCTCATGTATAGAATCAATTCAAAGAATTCCATTTTGTGTATGAGGCTTATAAGCACTTTGACACCTACCAATAGCAGACATAAAACATTGCAGAGACAGAACAGAGTAGCCTGAAAGAAGGAAATAAAAAATGTGTGACATTACAAATATCACTTCGAATTCACTCGAAAATAGAATTTTCATCATCCTAACAAACTATAAAAACAAAAAAAAAAAATAATTTACGTAAAATACTCTCTGATCCACGCTGTTGTTATGTTATACCAACTTTCAAGTCTCCCCAGGAGTAGTACACGTCTCTGCACTGCATGACCGTGGCGAAACATGTTGTCCAGATGGTATAACCCCAAGCGATCTTCCTGAGACGTTCTTCGCCGTCGTTCTCCGCTATCCACAAGCCAACGCACTTCATGAAGAACGTCGTCGATCTGATGGAGAAGTCCGGAGTAGTATCCTTCCGCATAGTGTGAAGTTAATGTCCGAGGGCAAGGCTGATTTCTCGCCTATTCGTGACAATTGTAGCTAAAGAGGGCTTAACTTCATTACGATGTCTCTTTGATTTTCATTCTCTTTGTCAGTGGTTAGTGAATCTTGAGTTTCCTTCTGTTCACTGTCTGACAAACTGGGGAGACAAGACGCAAGAAGCCGAAGAAATGATTGACGTTCCTGAGAAGGGGTTCGAAGACTTATTTATATTGAATCGAGGGAATCGTTTCCACACCCTTTGTCACTATAAGGAGCGCCCGTCACGAGGTGGCAGCTGTTAATTTTTAAACACCGAGTGCTACTTGTTCTTCTGAATACCACGATAGTCTCAGTTCTTACTCTAACTTGAACTGGAGATGTCCATTGGGAGAGAACGAAATGACCGGTTGTCGTTCTTGAACAACTTTGAGAAGGGATCAGTGTTTGGTTTGTAAGGGGTGAGTCGTCCTCTTTTATTTAAAAGTTTATTTAAAAGTTAACTACATTTAGTTTTTAACCGACTTCGAAAAGGAGGAGGTTACTCAATTCGACATGTATTGTTTCTTTTTTTATCGGAATTTTAGAGTGGCACTCCACAGATGTCTGAGAGTAAATATTATTTTCATATTTAAATGGGCATTCCTAATGTATATTTATCACTTCTGCTGAGACAATTGCTTTAATATTATTAATGATCTATCCACTATTTATTCATTCATTATTAGTTAAACTGCTTATCATTTTGCTCTTGAATTGTATTGATTTAATGAGAATCAAAGAAATTTTCAAAATATCATACCATATGCATTTTGCTCAAATATATTTGTCGTCTAAAAATACAAAATTACTTACTTAGAATTAGTACCTAAATCATTTTGGCGTCGATGTACTCTTCTTCCGAAACAATCATGTTAGAAATCACGCGCATTCGATAGCTATAAATTAATAAGTTCGTCGGGTATTGTTTCTAATTCAGATTGCTCTGAAAACTCTGTGCTTTGTCTCAATAGAGTAAAGTACGATACCGCGCTACTCATAATCTGTAAGAAGCATGTATATTTTTATGATTGTTTTAAATAATTTAATCAACTGATAATATTCGAAAGAATGGTGGAAATATTAGATGGATATTAATTACAGTAATGGAAATTTAGTGGATCATTGCAATAAATATTTTATTTTTCTTTGCTCTGTCTAGTATCCGATTGAAAAATTTATAGAAAGCTTCCATTACCTTAGTATAAGTCTCTAGTGATATCGGGAAAAATCCAAACGCCGTAAGGGAGCAGACATTTCTGGATCGCGCGATGACTATCATCAGATCCCTTCTCAGCGATTTCCCAGTTCGGTTCATCGACATATGTGGCCATAGTCCCGAGTACGCTGCCCGGGCAATGTTGTTACTCTCGTCTACTATGCCATGGCAACCGTAGGTGAACATCAGCAGCATTAACGAGCTGCCCATAGTAAAGGAGATAAAACCGCAACGCTTCACAGTACTTGAATTATCCTGCAAGTGTGACGAACCCAATGATTAAAAACCGTTCGAGATTTTCTTCCTATTAGCTCTAATTTTTTCTGTTAATACATTGGAGTTTAGAGAAACGTACAATGATATCGTGGTGGTGGTTTCTGTGAAGGAAGAGCGAGAGAGGAGAGAAAAGGAAGGGAGCGTTTCGCTCAGGGCCTGCTAGTGGACTTGTCAGTAAGGTTACCTAGCAAGCCCGTGCCTAACACGCCGGGATGTTTGGAGGTCGGTCGGGAATGGCTTGTACAGGGTGTCCCAAAATTAGCTGAGAAGATTCTGAACCACAATTTCCTTTGCAAAAATGTCGGATGGTGCTCCGTTTTTGAATTATTAACGAAAAATCATCGACCAATCACAGCGCCGGAGTAGCGCGCGCTCAGGCGCGCGAGGACGGCGCATGATCCAGGATGTTCGGCCCAGCCATCGGGCCAGCCTCTCGCGGCTGAGCGCGCGCTATTCCGGCGCTGTGATTGGTCGATGATTTTTCGTTATTAATTCAAAAACGGAGCACCATCCGACATTTTTGCAAAGGAAATTGTGGTTCAGAATCTTCTCAGCTAACACCCATTTCTGATTCTTACACTAATTCTGGGACACCCTATGTGTGAACGTTATTGTGGTGAACGTTTCACGTGGTGAGGGCAGAAGGTGCCATCACAATATTAATAAAATGTCAATATCACGATGATGTTTCAAAATGAAATAAACATCATTAACGAAGGTTAGTTTCTGTACAAGCTATTATACCAAAAATTCTTTCATTAAAATACAAAGATGATTTATAGAATTCTACTTCTCACGAAGTACAGAGTTTGAATTTCGTATTAATCATTTGAGTGTCAAGTGCGATATATCGTTGCTCGAAGCTGTAAGCGTTATAAATTTTGTGAAAATATTTTCTTCATACAAATTTATAAAGGAAGTATAACGTGTTTTTAGTGTTGTGTAAAAATTTCATGAAACCGAGATATACATTTTTGTTTACAATCATGTATCATTGTTTGAAATTGTCTAGCATTTCATGGATATGTGTGAAAATTTCCTCTGGCACTCAAAGGGTTAATAATTGTTCCGTAAGTCGTTTTAAAAGTATGAAACCGTAATCAATTAATTGAAAGAAAAATCCATTGCCGATACAACGCGAATACAGACCAGAAATGATAGATATGCAAGCAGGCAGATCAACGCACTGGAGATGACTACTTGTGCCAATATCGCCAATGTGAACACATTTTCGAGCTTCGTAGAAAAATCGATGAGCCTCTGGTGCTGTCGAATACAATTTTTCAATTTCTCGTAAGATTTACTGACATCGTTTATCACCACATTGCCATTTCCATTTTCATCTCCCATATTCTTTTCCACGTGACAATACGTTTTCAACCTGTATTGAAGTATACGAAACTGTCCTGATAAATGTATGCTTATAATGCACAAAATATTGTCGAAACTAAAGTAACAAATGCTAACTTGATACAATATAGATATCTGAAAAATAGCGAAAATCGATAATCATTCGATGTTTTTATGCGTTCCATCCATGCTACACATTGTTCAAAGATGTATAATAACATAGTTTTAATAATATAAATATGACAATTTGTTGTACCTGCAATAAGAACATCATTTCGTAATAGGGAGTCTTCCATAAGGGTGCTTTGACCCACATGTTGAACATAAGTACTCTGTCGCTTTCATTTTTTCCCATATTATCTGAGGAACAAATACATTTAATTCCTCGTGTCAGTATAAAACAAAAGGTCTTTTCCCATTTTTCGATACGAGCCTTAGTCGACGAGATATAAACAATCTTTTCTCTGATTGATAAGCTTTAATTGCTTATAGCTACGTGCCAAAGCTTACCACTGAAGAATGATATTTCGACTCACCAATGATCGGCGTTGCGATGTAACCAAGGATTGCACCGTGGCCGGTGACGGTAACGATCGTGACAAATAAAATACAAATTTTCCAGGATTGGCCTAGGATCTCTTTCTCGTTGTCATTATACTCGGCGTGCCAGAAATTATGTTTCATGTGTGAAATCAATTCGAAGAATTCCGTTTTGTGTATCATGACAGTAACTATTTTTACTGTCGTCAGTAATATAGATAAAACGTTGCATGTAGCGAAAAGGAGATCCTGAGGAAAGCAATCAGATGGTTGAGTTATTTATTTGTTAACACGTTTGTTAATAGTATTCTTAGAGTGTTATTTCTGAAAGAATTCGCGAATTTGATTGGATGAGACGTTTCAGTTAATCCTTTGCACTCGAGGCCTTTTTTTCTGGTATCTACTAGCAACTCGAGATGCATTCTTAGCATTCTATCGCCACGAATGCTAAGATTATATTCGCTTCGAAAGTGAGATCTCTAATTTGAGATTTGAGAATCAGGTCACCTTTGCCTCAACGACAATCATTTTATTGGCACGTCGAGTTCCAAAGAAATTAAACCTAAAGAAATCCTAGTGGTGACTGAGAGTTACCTCTCGAGTGCAAAGGGTTAACTTCTTCGGAACCTATCACTAAGCTCTAATAATACCACTCACGCTACCACGTTTCTCTGACTCAAAGCACTTCTATCTCAGAGAAGATTTATCCAGAAATAAAATACTAAACAGTTTTCCTCTCACTTTCAACACTCCCCAAGAAGATACTTTCCATCTCTTTGCGTTCCCACACTTTATGCTAGTCATACTCACATTCACGTTACTCCGAGAGAAGTACATGTCCCTGCTCATCGTGACGATGGCCGTACAAATCGTCCCCAGTGTATAAAACACGGCGACGTATCCACGAATTTGTTCAGCGAAGGTGTCTGCTGCCCACGCGCCGATGCACTTCATGAAGAAAATTGTTATTCTGATCGAAGAGTGGAACTCTCCCCTAATCGTCTGCATGGTGGGGGTCAATTGTCTAAGGCCGGGCTTGATTCCTCGTTTACCCGAGACACCTATTCTTTCACGTGAGTTTCAATTAAAGAGAGAATTTCATTCTGACGTCTCTTTGGTTCGTCATTCTCTTTGTCAGGGGCGGATGAAGTCTTTGCTTCATCACGTTCACTGTCTATCACGTTGAAGATAGGAAACGGAACCACAGGATCGATCAATGTTCTTCAGCCTTTAATGTTTGAGAAAAAGTGTCTTCGATCGATGTCGTTGTATATTATTCAGGTAACGATTCCTGCACTGTCTCCGACTGTGAGCAGCACTTGTCACGAAGTTAACAAGTGGTTATTTGTAGACACTAAATGTTACTGTCTGCATTGAGAGACACGAGCACCTCAGTTCTGACTCGTCACTTCCAGCAAAGTTCTCGGTCAGGATGGAATGAAACGTAAGATGTGGCTTCCTTGTGCACCGTTCAACACGCCAGTTCCTGGTTTCCGGGTTTCTGAATTTGGAGCCAGTTCTGAATGATAAAGTAGAGTAGGACTCGCAGTGGATCCATGGATGGGTCTCGAAAATAGTCGATTTAGCCGTCCCGTCTCGAATTTAAAAGGTCGACATAATTGCATTTTCAAGCACACAGAGGCATAACCTGAGGCTCCAGACTACATCCAGAGGCCAATTGTCAACGAGTCGCATGACGTCGTTAACACGCTGCTCGCCTACGTTAATGTCTTTCGCATGGCGAAATGAGCAGTTCATTCTGTATGCGGTCCGTTCTACCAAGAGTTCGGGGATAAAAAGTGCAAACAGACATTAATTATCAACTGTATTTGAAATGTGCCTACGACCTGCATGGCGGTAAAATATAGAAAAATAACACTTAGCGGTATTACAGGAGAAAAAAGGAAAAGAAAGACAGTTTTGGTCAAAAGTATGCGGTTCAATGTCCACTGGTACTACCCAAAAAAGGTATTTTACATAATATTTTATTTTTTGTTGTCAATCAGAACAAGACTTTGACTTATTTAAAAAAATGTATAGAACACAGCACAAGCTGTTCTTATATATGCATTAAAATCACTTGGCAAAGAATTCTGATCACTAAATCGGGATTCAAGCCACTGGCATTATCTCTAGCTCGCCGCTGAACATAAGGCTGCTTTCAGCGGATTACACTTTGAATTAAGCACAAACCAAGTAGAAGTAATTCGATTATTCGAGCTAAGAAAATGGTTCGAAGAAGTCTGCTTTGATTACCGTGGTATAAGTTTCCAGCGTTATCGGAGGAAATCCACGGCTCTGAGTACGCCGCTGTACCAATATTGTTGCTTTGTTCTTCCAAGACACGAAAAACGTCAATAGCTGTGAGACTATTCTTGTTTAGTTGCTTGTTTTTACTTAAATTCGCGACAGACAACAAAATTTAAGACAACTAGCAACCAGGAGTCACTTATTTACCTGGAAAATAAGATAATCGAGGCTTCACGGTTCTTCGTGATGGATACCAATCGAGATAAGATAAGATTCGTAAATAATGTAAGACGTAATTGCCCTAATTTCCAGCGGTTTTGGATAGTTTTCTAAAATCGAGCTTCTCGATTAGCTTTGGATAGTTTTCTAAAATCGAGCTTCTCGAGCTAACTCGAGCTTCGAAATTGCTCCTCGAGCGCACTTCCGGTAACCAAGCTGCCGCCACTCGAACAGCAGTTTCCGAAAGTCCTAACACTTTCCTCGGAACACTTGGCGAATAATAATAGGATTTCTCGCTTGTGTTGCTGCGAGAGAAAATTAATTCTATGGTCTTTAGCGAGTCAATTTAATTTAACGATTTCGACACTGTCTGTTTCTTTGGTTTGTATTCAATTTTGAATTGAATGTAGGTTAGGCTTTACGTATGAGTGAAAAGAGTTATAATCCTTCAGCGACGATTCCTGTCGCTCGAGTTCCTTTATCTACGCGATGAGATTATGGATTCTCATAATTTATTCCTCATCATTCGCGGAGAGTGTTTCGAAAGACCTTCGCTGAGAGTCGCTTGGAACCATTAAAGCTTTCATGAACCTCTATCGCTTTCGAAACGAGCGCACGTGCTGGGCTGTCAGACTACTGTCTCCAATTGGACCATTCTCCTTACTCGTGAATCGAGTTCCTGCTGAATTTCAAGAAATCCGTCACAGTTTACGCTGTTGTAATGGTTATACGAGTTTTTAATCGATTCAGAACCTTTCTTTCCGAATATCGTATTATTATATCGTTTATATCCTTCTGTATACTTTTAGTATATTATTCTGTGTCTCATATTTTCATGTAAATTCAGAGATGTCCATTTTTAATTTCTTATGAAATCCGTATTAATGACCCATTAATTTCTAATATATAATTTTTATTTTCTCAAGCAACATTTTCATTTCCTATGCTTGAAAAGACTAGAATGAACGATTTGTTAATTTTCCATTAAGGAGTCAATTAATCGAACCTTAGATAAGCAATGCAAGATGAGACGAACACCAGACTGGAAATATTCATCAGCTTCGAGAGCACGATTTCTTACGTCCGCGCGACGAGATGACGTTAAACGCTTGTTTACGTCGGCATTAATCTCTTTCCTCATTACAGCGACCGTTCTACCAATCTACAGCAACATGGTAGCCAAGAAACGGCAGATGCTAACGAGACTTCCAGAGTCGCAGGCGAAATTCTCAGTTCTCTCGATACACGATACTCATCACTTAATTCTGTGCTGGTAATTCTTTATCTGTCGCAAGCCTGAGACTCCATTGAAAGAGGTAGCCGTTCCAGGAATTGCTATTACCTGCTTATAGCTTGCTCGTATTTGCACACAGAAGGAATACATTAGAATAGTCGTACCAGTTCGAACAACTCCGACTGCCATTAGCTTGTATCCATAACTTTTTATGTATGCATTTGCACACATACACACACGCGCGCGCGCGCGCGCACACACATTTAACAGAACGTATACCAGATTTAAGTTAATCCTCGTTCGAAGATAACTGAACTCATATGGATTTTTTGTGGATCGAGGAAAGCTCGAGTGAAAAAGGAAGTCGAGGTGACGGAGGAACGTTCAAACGATTTTCACGGATTGCATGAAAGCGGTGCCGATGGTCGTTGCGGCTATTCAGTTGCGAAAAACGAGTCGACCCAGCGGGTCTCCGTTTTCCAGGGTGCATCAGGGTGGTGTGCAGCCGCACGCGGCTCGCTCCTCGTTTGCTTTGAAATGGAAATTGGCAGCGATCTCGGGATTCTAGATTAACGACACGGCAAATCGAATTACTCGCGCTCAAAGTCGATCATTGGACCAGGACGCCGCAACGGGGCTGATTTCATCGTTCGCGTCCGCTTACTCGTGCGCCGCCATTTTCATTGGTTCGTTAATGGGTCCGTGAGACTTCTCAAATATTTGCCTTCTGAACCCTAACTATCGCAGGATCCTGCTGCGACTGTTAAGGAAAGTGGTAGCTGTTTCATGAATCTAATATTTCTTTGCCTCTGACTGCTCGCATCTATTAATAACAATCACAATAATTCAAGAAATTTTGGTTCCTGTACTAAATGCTCTTGAAAAAGTTGACAATTCTTGCTTTAAACCATCCCTTATTTTACACTAATCTCAAATGCTTCGTTTTGTTTCCTTAGTTCTTTTTATAGAAGGACGTCTCAGATTGCTCTAGATAAAAACGAGTCGTAGCATTATTTAGGTTCGTTATCAGGGAAGCAATCATACCTAAATCCAATACTGGCTATACACTGGTAATCTTTCGAATCTATGGCTTTCCTATTCGAACAGAATTCGCTGGAAATCCAGAAGATATGCGATAACCGACCTTGGCGGTGACTTTGATTAATAAGAACGTCTCGATGATAAACGTGAAACAGTTTAAAATAAGAGAAACGGAATGAAATCGCAGTAAACAAACTTGAAATGCAACATTAAATTATCATGAGGCTACGATCAATATCCACGACACTGTTCTCTATTCCATTGTTAAATAGACAAACTTTAAAGGATCGAATGATTGGAACAGTTTAATCTCCGCTGCTCAAGGTTTCTCGACTTCAACTGTGGTCTCTTAATCTCGTTTTCGAGGTACTTAAGGCTCAAGGCAAAGTTCAAGCGACGTATCCTTATCCACTTTCTGATAACCTGTCCGATAAGATTTCGTTTCTCGCCGCGGCAAAGTGGATGGCACGAAACAGCGTTGGCCAACAGAATTTATTCAGCCAGTGAACGGAGTCGATGGAATATGCTTCGCGGATGACTTGACGCGGGCCTTGGCAACAGAAATCGGGGGATGAAGTTGGACAGAGACATGTCTAAGTGTCGAAGAGTCGCTGATTAAATCGAGACTGCCCTTGCACACTTGCACGAAGCATTGATAAACATCGCTAGCATATACGACGAGTATTTTTCTGCCTGTCGTGAGGTCTGTCCTTCAGGTTTTCACAATCCTTGTCCCTCAGATCGACACATTGTAATTTTCACCATTTTTTGAACATGCTCGCACTTGCTGAACGTTAATAGCATGGTTTAATTTAGGAAAAAACACCTCGCAGCTTGAGACAATTCCGAAGAGCTGTACCGTACAGTGAAGGAACTTACTGAATTATTTGCTTATAATAAGAACTGGATGTTCATTGAAAAAATTGCACAACCAGAAAATTGCTTCATCGTCATTTTCATTGAATTTTTCACAATCCAGGGTATTTATTCCGGCCTTGATATTTCATTAAGTCTGCCTAATCACTCGCAACTGCGAGCCTCCGAGCAGCGTGTAAGCTCAGGAACTTCCTTGAACTGTTTGCGAAACAACGATTTGCATTTCGAGCAGACTTCTTTTAAGCTCTTCGGGAACAAGGGGACGCAGAAAAAGGAGCGATGGAAAAATGGGGTAGGGGGATGAAGAACGTTTGGAAGGGAAGCAAAGAGTCGTACTAATTGTTGCGATCGATGCGCCGATAATTAGGTTGCGGGGATCGACGATAAACCGTCGAATCACCGCGAGCATGGACGAGCTGGAGGCGGGGCTGCTAGCAATTACCAGGAACGTGGAAACCGGGTGCAGACGGGGTACTTGCATCCGAAAAGCCTTTGGAAGTTGAACAAAATAAACGAACTATTGTAACATACTCGCACAGTATACGTAAAATAATAAAAATTCTCTTCTCAATGATCATATGAAATTTCTTGTTAGATTTTCGAAGAATTGACATATATCAGTAATAATTAATCGGAGAAATTGGTTCACTATTTATAATTGAAACTTAGTAATATAAAACTCAAAATCTGTGTTACTAAATAATATTGGAATTTGTATCGAAATGTTCTGATCCATTGCAGCGTTCGATAAGTCGCACTAGGCGCTGAAATGCCTATACGTGGCTCTGACAATTATGCAAGGAAAAGGTGCCAGCGTCGATGTTGGCCGATATATAGGACGTTCGCGTGAATAGCGTTTCCCTTGCAACTGACGTATGTCAGTGAGGAATAAAAAGAAGGCAGAGCATATGGGTGGAGTAAAATAATTTTCGATATTTGCAGCGACTAAGAATCTCTAAAACGGTCGCACTATTTTTAACGAAATCGTGTTTCGTTTCGGAGCTAAGCCGACCAAAATTTCTAAACTTTCTACGAAAATCTATAACATGCTCCGACACTTAACGAATTCGGTAACGATAGCAGAAATTGATTCCAATTGTAAAAGAGGATCTTCTTGAACGGAAGTTATTTTTACTCTGACGAACACTGTTGATAACTAGTGGACGTTATCGGTTCAATAAAGGGATGGCAGGAGGAAGGGGATGTGTTCAAGTAAATTTCTAATCTTCCTGAAAAATCACGCGTGATAATCGCTGAAGAATATTATAGAGGAATGTTTCGAGGGG